TGATCAGTTCTAAAATTTGGACAAATTTCACTGCAAGAAACTTCTACTTAATAGATATATGTCAGAAATAGAAACAATAAATAAAATACTGAGCATGTAACTAGCCCCCAAAGCAACCAGGTCTGCACAGTATCCCATGGTAACCACACTTGGTTGTAATCAACTACCGTAAGTCGGTAAGAATTCAATAATGGAGTCATACATACTGAACTTTATATGTAAACTTCAAAATAGATTCCGTAGTTTCATTATTATTTCAAAAGATTATTGGAATCAGTAAATACAGTCAAATCTGCATATAGCAAACTCCAAAAGAAATTGATTACTGCATAAATTAATTATTGATATATCACGTGATAAAGTGATTGTACATTTATTTACTGCATAAATACTTAGTAATATATCACGTGATGAAGTGATTGTACATTTATTTACTGCATAAATACTTAGTAATATATCACGTGATGAAGTGATTATACATATATTTACTGCATAATTAATCATTGATACACCACAGGATAAAATGATTATACATTTATTCACGAAATAAATAATTATGAATACATTACGTGATGAAGTTATTATATTGGTCTTTAAACAAAGGCAAATATGCAAAAATTGTCCTGACAGAGTGGTCACATGACACAGGTGGTGTTTATAATCAAATTGCTATACATTATACTTTGGAACAGATTAAAAGTTGGTTGGTGGTTTATATAGAAGTAGTCACTAACACAGGTTTGACTATTTCTGTATTTATTACCTCCCAACAAGAAAATCAATAAAAACAGTTTCAACACAACTTGGCCGATTATAATCTGAAATTTCCTGATTTTCCTAACCTGCTAGTGTTGCTCAGAGTATCAGCCTGTATTTGTATTTTAACAAAATGATAGGAATGAACATGAATACTTAAATGTGTATTTTTTACAAAATGTCAAAAAAGGCTTGCCATCAACTCCATTTGTATCCTAGTAAAATGACGTCAGATTAACATAAAATTAAATAAAAATTGTTCATACTAACTTTTCTATTCATAATGTTAGAAAATGCATTTTTTAAGCAAAACATTTATAAAAAAAATCAGCATTCTTTTTTCGGGAGCAAAGAGTTTATGTCATTTAAGCAATGAATTTGTCTTCGTGGTTTCTTTTATCAAAAATGTTTGGATATTTTCCTCGATTTTGTAAATAGAATGTTTCAGTGTAGCATTGACAAGGCAAGAGTTTAGACCATGAAAAAAAATGGTGTTATTATTATGCTTTCTGATTTGCTTCAAAAAGGAGACGTACCCTTTCATTTGCCGGCAACGTATGACATACTTTTAGGAGAACTTGAAAATTGTTACAGTGTTCAGTTTAAAGCGAGAGGGTCATCACCTGCGTATGTGCGGGAATTGAGTCTCAAATTGGCGATAACAACACACGCTAAAAACGCAAAATGAAACAATGAAACGCTATTGCCCTCAGACACATGCGTAGGCGACAACTCCTTCGCTTTAAGCAGATTTTCAGTTTACACGCTGACTTTTCTACATTACATGAATAACTGTAAACCGCTAGGAATGTTTGAAAATAGTTGAATACTGTAAAATACTTTATTGTAGCTGGAATAAATTTTGGCTGAAAAGACATTTTGGGAGTTTTGTATGGAATTTATTTTCACTGAAGTTGAATGTAAAATATTAGAAAAAAGGTATATTCGCTGGATTTTATTTTCACTGAAGCATCCCTTTCAGCGAAAATAAATTCCAAGCAAAAATAAAGTATTCTACAGTAAATTACTGACACAAATATTTGCATTTTTCAAACTTTTTTGACAGTAATATACAGGACGCATGGTAAAAGATCTGTCAATTTATGATTCTAGTATTAGTGAATTCACACATTTGGAATCCAGGTATAAACAACCACTTGTTTACCAACTTGATAGTTCACTTAGTGATCACAGCTTTATAAAGGATTCATTGTTGGCGATAACTACAGACTTTTAAAATAGATGTGCACTTACTCTAACACAATTAACTTTACAATACATGACACTCCTAAAAGGTCTTTAAAAACTATACTACATAGCATTGCTGAACAGAAAGTCCTAAATACTGTACGAAATCAACTGATTTGGTAAAATTTCTAGTATGAAATGTGTGTGTGTATTAGAATTTAATTTATATTACAGTGATTTGCCTGTTAATAAAACCCCAATCTATTCAATAGCCAAAAAAATAGACAGATGACCTATTTCACTTCACACCCATAGCTGTGACCCTATCAAATAGGCTTCAGCTCACTTCAGCTACCATGTGATTTATTTTCCATGTTATCGGAGCACAAGTAAGTGAAGGTACTTCTAAATATTATAAAATTATTAAATTAATAAACAGTGTTATCATCTGCAGTAGCTTAGGTATAGCCAGCATTTTATCACACCTTTTGATAAACCCTTATATTTGCACGGTTAGATGTATTTAGAAGCCCAGTGAAATGTTTCTGTCCACAAAATTTTGAAACTTTGACTGATTTCATGAAAATTGGTCTCTTAATCTTGATAAAAAATTTGAGAATTTGAAAACTAATCTGAAGCACATGCAAACAATTCTACTTACTTACTGAAATGGTGAAGGACATTTAAAGGGGGGAGTTGTCAATCTCTGGGGGTGCAGCAGGAACTACTGCTTATGTTGATTACACTTTTAGTCTTTTGTTTCCATTGTAATTAGCAACTAGAATCATGCTCACATCTTTTTTTTGTTACTGCTTTCTAAGGTTCCTGGTTACATAAAATTATACGTTATTTCAGTGTTTTTTTTGTGTGTGTTTTTTTTTTGCACAAAACAACACAGAGCAAACATGTTTTAACTACCAAAGTGTTTTTACCTAAACTTATTATATTATTATTGTTGATTTCACTATTCAGAAAAAAAAATTGAATTTCTAATATACAAAACTATATGTGAAGAACTTAGTGTTTTTAACTTAACAAGACAATTACCAAAATTGGGAAAATTGTATCAAAATTATGAAACTACAAAACATGGCTTGTTAGTTTCATCATGGGGCTAGAAAGCTCCATGGTTTCATTATCAAAATTAAACAAATAATTTGGAATATATTTATGTGTTTGGAAATGAATCTAAAACTATATCGTAACATTTATACTCACTCTTTCCAGTACAAGTACAAGTACAAAACGATTCATTTCCAACAACGAAATCAACAATTACAACTTGTAAACCAAAGTTGTCTATTGGAAATACATTTGTATTAGGAGGTGTTTACCGCTTTGTAACATATGGACGAGAGACCCCCACCCACCAACACATACTGAATTTAACATAACAATGCCAATCGTGTTGACAAGGTAATCTTTATCAAATCATTGTCAGTGATTTCATTTATTATTGAACTGGATCGAATTTTAACTGGTTGCTACATTAAGTCGAAAACATGGAGCCTCATAGTCTCCTGGAAACTTGAAATCATGGTCAAACTTACCTCCGCCTATCGCTCCCAACTATAGTTTACTACAGAAAGTTATCTAAAACCCCACAAAGTCGAACAATACACGATCAGCGGCTATTGTTGTGCTCCCAGCTGGCGGCAACTGGCAAAAATGAATTTCCGATTGACTGGAAATGGACAAACGCTCTTCACTTTGGCCCTAGTCGCTTCAAAAACAATGCAACGCAGACAAAATCTTCGACTGACATCCAGGGCATTCAACTGGAGCCAGTTTGATTTGACAGTAGATTTACGCCCAGTTAATAATATTTATCTCAAAAATAGGTCAGAGAGACACAAAAGATAGGCGTACGAACCGGGCTGTCATTTTGACAAAGGTGAATGGTGCGTTCTCATCTAATCTGATCACGGGTAAAAACAAACATTGTTGAAATAAAGAATGCTCCGATGGTAAGGGAAATATCACTAAAAATGAGAAGCATTCGAGAAATTAATCTTACCTACCAAACCGGGCTCTTCACAATACCTCAAATGCTGAGGGCGCGCGTCGACACTGTTGTTTATTTCTGTCAGCTGTTTCGTCAATTTCGTCCGTTTGGACTTCGCGCCTTTTCAAACGAACGCTCTGATTGGCTGAGTGTAAATTGTGCATGCTAATAAGTTGGCGACAGACGTGATAATTTTAACCGAATACTTTACGTAATCGGCGTCAAAGTAACGCCTTTTAATCAGTGTATGGGGAACAATATCGTATTTATTTGGGTTGGGAAGAAGGCAATTCACGACAGATAGTCAGACAACTGTGAGACGAAAAAAATACAAAACCAAAAAGCAGTTCAACGTTGCCTGACGGGGAAATGTCAACCGCACGTAGCCAGCTGCACTACCATTGGTTGTTATTTTGATACGGCGATTTACTCACAGAACTATACTACCAATAACATGTATTTGAAAAACAGAAATAATGCATAATCATTGTCAGACGATCATTTGAAACTTCGCTGCTTACGACTTAGTTATATTTTACCAAATCAAGTATTTATAGTGAATTTTAGCATCGCCGGTAAATTAACCCTTTGTCAATTAGCGGAGTGATATTTTTGATATCGTTGTGAACAGCTGACTCAGTAATAATATGCACCGACCCGGTTGGCGTAAACATAAACTAACTACGCCTTTGTCGCTGATATCTAGTTCGCAACGATTCCCCTGATTTATCTTATATTTCTACCATATTCTCGAAGCGTCCGACCCAAATTAGTCAACATGTGCTAGAAGAAACATCTTAGGCTGCTTATGGATCAGTATAAATCATCCATCTACCAAATTTGCTGCACTTTTGGTGAGAAGGTAAGAGACGAAATGTCAGTTGACAGTTTGATATTGACAACTGATGCCGATTTCATCAAAACAAAGCCTCTTGATATTTTAATGTGTCGCAGCTGCAATTTTCTTTGTTTTGTTTTTTCCACAATTTAAACACTTATTTCTCAGTTTAAATACAATTCTTGTCAATTTCGGGATAGACCGGGGGATAGACAGAGGTTGGACACCGGAAATATTTGACAATGGGCCCGCCGTATTAAACTGGAAACCCCCCGCCTTTGTACGTAAGATGTCAGTTTCTATTCGATGTCGTCATTTCTGGGTTTCATGAAAATACTTCTCATACTCACGGTACTTTTTAACGTGATCAGAATATGTTCGAATAATTTTGTCATGCTTTTTTCTTTCTTTTTTTTTTATCCCAAATTGATTCGAGGATACCGGTCAGACATTTTATCCCAATTACAATATCTAGGGGTCACTTTATCCGTCAGAGCAATTCTCAAAGAAAAGAATTTGGTTACCCCCTCCCACCAAATGCCTTTCCCATTGCGAGTTTTAAAAAAATCCAAATAACCATAATTCTATGTTCACGCAGATGAGGGGTGACGGTCAAGGATGAGAAATAATTCGTGTATTTGCTTTCTGATATGTTACTCATTGTCCTGCGGTCAGCTATGCGCCAGCTATTGACTTTGATGACTGTAGATTCTAACATCGTAACCGCTTTACTTTTGTGAGGGAAAATGCAATAAAATCATGAAAATCTTTAGCAGCAAAAATTGCGCGATTTTATAAAAATGTAAAGTAAGATCACAGTGTTAATATAATGTGTTTTTTTTCTGGTTCAGGTTTGCGGTGGAGTACTTGGTGAGGACAGGGAAGAATGGCTGGCATTATCAAACATCCCAAAAAACTGCATTTTATGCTAGATAATGCCTTGGAGAAGGAAAGCAAGTCATGGAAGGAAAAGAACCTGAGAGACACAGAAGACGATGTAAGTGTAATAATTGATTGAATTTTGAAACCATTTGGGAGGGGGGGGGGTATAAAAGTAGAGGAGAAAAACCGCCATTCTCTAATTGAATTATAAATTAAAATTAAGCCTGAAAATGATTGGCAATTGAACTAGTGGTGATATAAGTATTTGATTTTTTCCTCCCATTTTTTTGTTACTGGCATTATGAAAAAAACAATAAACAAAGAGGGGGATTGTCACAAAGAAATTTTCAAATGATTTATTTGAGCACAAACAAGTTTTTAACAAAAGACTATTCAACACGTTTATGACTTAATGAGGGATGATTTACATGTTAAGTATTGGGTTTGCTGCTAATTTATGATAGCAAATTTTATTATCAATATTACTGACAACCCTACTATAACAATTATTTGTTGTCTTTACTATCAGTATTGGAATTCAAAATTGTTTATTCACAATACTGGTTGAAGGTCTGGAAACTTGTAGAATTCAGCCGACTAGTAACTATGTGGCTTCTCATTACAGAGGGTTTCAAAATTTGTTAAACCCCTTGCCCCCATAGAATCAAGACTGTACAGTGTGACTGGTACAATATAACATTTTCAAATACCCAGAATTCCATGCTTTAAACATCTCCAGAAATATTTGCCTTCTAACTTTCATTCATAAAATTAATTCTGTTAATCTTTTTGTTTTTAATGTTTTTTCATGCGTGTAGTGTGTGTGTGTTGAGGATTTAGGCACAGCTGTACATTACTATTATTCAGATACGTCCATGCAATCTGTGCATGTGTGAACTAAACATGTGTAGGTTCTGGCTGGACTAAATAAACACCACAAATCTGGAACTGTCAGATTTTCAAAAATGCAAACCCAAAATAAAGTTTTGAAAACATACTATAATGTAAACGCATAAATTTTTCACAAGGTTTTCATTTCACTATTTTTACTGATATATGTAAGTAAAATCCACTAAATTAAAACATGAAAAGTTATCATATAACACAAAATTGTTTTTCTGGCAAATGTGTGAAATTAAAACCCAGTGATTATTGCTCAACATTGTTTTATATACCAGTTACAATTAATGCTTCAACAGTAAACGTTAAATATTTGAAACTGATCAAAATAGTTCCAAAATGCAATTGTGGATGAACTTGATATGTCATCGTTGTGGTACTTAATGGGACTGGAATGTGGGGCAGTTCACCAGATGCTAACACTTTGAATAGCGCATGATTTTTTCCCTATCAAAGATATACTGCAAGCATTTCATGAATTTTCACTATTTCCTTTGTTGATGCTGAACCAAAAGACATAATTTCCTATTAGCAGCAATTCGTGATTGGAATTTTTGAGAAATAAATAAACAAATAAATAATGCAGGCTTATCTTGTGAGAGAGAAATACTTTTGACTTTGGTATTCATAGCATTATTGAACGTAAACATGATATCTACATTCTAAATTCACCTGTGTTAAAATTAGGTTGTTGTGTCTAGTTAGTTGTGTTGATGCTGTCATCATGGAATATATTTATTGAATGTAATTTGAGACACTGGTACATATGCTAGGATTCAGTTGGCAAAAGGGGAAGTGGCTGGTAACCATTGACCCATTTATATTTTGAACTATATTTAAAAGTACGAGTGGTTTGTGTGACAATATGGTGGTACGTATGACAACTCAACCAGCAAATATGAATTTCTTTGTCTTAAGGCAGTTCAAGCTAAATTCATACATGCATTCTGGACTACTGACAGAACTGATTGCATATACTGTAGAATACTTTATTTTCGCTTGGAATTTATTTTCGCTATTTTCGCTGAAGGGATGATTCTGTGAAAATAAAATCCAGCGAATATACTTTTTTTCCTATATTTCACATTTAACTCATCAAAAATCAGTGAAAATAAATTCCATACAAAACGCCCCAAAAGCCTTTTCAGCGAAAATTAATTCCAGCGAAAATAAATTACTCCACAGTAATGGAAATTATTATTCCACTGGAAACTTCACTAAATTTAATATAAAATATTAGGATTCATATCAATAATATAAAACTTTTTCATCTTGTGTCACCAAATAATATTTTACCATAGAATCTGGTGGAAAATACAAATTATTACCATTTTCTTTGAAATTTTTAACTTTTGTTCATTCTAATGAAAAACAAATTTCCATGCAAAGTTAATTCAACACTAATTTCCTTGTCTAATGCAAAAAACAAATCAAAAGTTGGGTTGAATGTCAATGAGAGGAAATGGAAGAACTATTTATTTGCTTTGTTAGTAACACATATATTGTATGTGATTATGTACTTAACAGAAGTGTGTCTGTGGCCAAAATAAGTTTTTTTTATAAAAACCAGTATACAATCATGTAGATGCAATGTTTGGTTTGCATGCATTCAGCAAATACGAGAACAGAATATTTATTTTGTTTTTTTTTCTCTTTGGATTGCAGGAGAACGAAATAAGTCCGCGTCTGAGAGACGAGATCACAAGGTGGATGTGCATGCTGAATTTCAAGTTTAAATTTTCACCTGAAACATTCATGCTAAGCACAACCATACTGGATCACTTTTTAGCCTCAATCAAGGTAAGGAAATCGACCACACCACCTCAGTTATCATGCTATTCAGTCTGCACCAGTCTACCAGTACAAACGCAAGATCATATTGTCAAAGAGAAACCTACCTTAATATTCAACCAGAATTGAGTACAAACAAGAATAGCTTTCTTTTCATCTACGTTTTATTTTATTTTTCACTTAAAATTTAGCTTTCTAATTTTAATTAATTATCCCAGGCAGCACTGTTATTAATTAACTAAATGGTTATATATATATATAGTACATTAATTCCCCCCAGTACGAGTGACATTTGATTCAACAGCTGCCCATGTACTAAAATAACCCTGAAGAGTTAATGGTATATAGTGATAAGTTGGTATACAGTCTAGCTGTGTCAACATTCCATACTCACCAAGTCGGTCGTTTTAAACCTTTCAGGCTATGATAAATTGGTTCATATCCTAGTTATTAATGTATTTATTTATGGAGGTAAAGCTCTAGCGTCAGACATTCGGTGAATATATGTCGTTTGAAGGGAAAATTCCATTCTCTGTCTGTGAAGTACACTCAAATTGAAATTTAATTACTGTGTGTGTGCGCTCTCTCATTCAGTATTGTCTCTGGTGATGCGTGGTTCTGTAAAGTGGTTTCATATATTTTAAATTTGAATTGTACTGTTCAGTCCCGAGAGAGTGGTGGATTTGTTGTACCATGCACTTCTAACAATTGAGTTTCATTATCGACTGTTATTGTGATTAAATGTTTCGCAAATAAGTTTTCGTGAATACAAATCGCCAATTTTCCAAATATATTCTCTGACTTTCTACTCCTTTGTGTAAATGTCAGTATTCAGTGTTTTATTTTGTTTTGAGGTGGATGAGCAATTAGGCTGGGACTGATTTCAGTATATTAAAGGGAGGCAGTCGTCGTGCCGCGTCCTGTTCGAACTCGTAGCGACGTATACAATGCGTGTAAAATACATTGTTTATTTACATGAAATTCAAACACGTGCTGTGCGACAACCAGTGCGCTATAAAACGGGTAAAAAAAAATTAATTACATGTTGTTGGAAATTTTAATAAAATGATTATTTTGATTATTTATTTTATTTGTTCTATCTTACTCATTATCCATGTAACCATGCAAAGCATCTCGTCTATGTACTATGTGTTTGTGAGGTTTCACTCTTTAAGCACCAATGTCAATTTTTGGCACTATCTACAAAATGATGTACGTATATATATCTTCTCTCCAATTGACAAAGCTTTTAATCAAAAAGACTCTACTCCAAGGGTCACAAGTCTCTGTTTCGTGCCCTACCTAGCTTTCGTCATTTATATTCTTCCATAATAACAAAAAACAAGCAAGAGTACAAATGTATGTATGCAAGTTTAGGGCATGAAGGAAAACTCATTAGGCAAGTTGGTAATTGCCACGATGTCTGTCAAAACCCTGTGTATGTCTATCATCTATGTGCATAATTTATGTATTTATTTATTTTTTTAATAAAAAAAGATTATTGGAATTTATTATATAAAGTTTTAATGAAACTCTGTATGGGGTTATGGTAATTAGATTTGGGATATAAAAATGCTTACCTGACAATTCTTGTTGCCATGGAGATGTGAATCTGATAGAATTGATGATTTGAACTGGAAACAACATACGGATTTGTTTTTTGATATATACATGTATATTGTATGGAAATATTGATTGTTCATATAGGAAATGACGTTATTGATGCGGTATGTTCTGGTAGCTGTAGCTTATATGCAAACAAATGTTTGTATTTATACTGTATTCTAATCATTATGCATCTTGTACTGTACTGTATGGTTAGTTACAAAGAAAAAAGCATAAAAAATTGCGTTCAATTTATGACTAACCGGTTAGTAGGGTAGAAATGTAATTTGTACTATGGAGGTCACGTATTCTATTCTCAGTCATAGTCATTTGAATTTGAAAAAAATCAGGGTTACCAGTAAACAGCCTGAAAGGATTATATTCATATTACTATGGTAACGAATCAAGTAGAATTTTGTTATTATTTTGAAGTGAATGATTAAATCTGTGTTTTGTTTTCAGGCGCGACCCAAGTATCTGAAATGTATCTCAGTCAGCTGTTTCTTTCTTGCTATGAAAATGAAGGAGGAAGACGATGTAAGTCCATTGTTTTGCTAGAATGTAAAATATGAATTTCAAGTTTGTATTCATGTTTGATTTTTTCATCTACATTTGATCTCATTGGTTAAACATGACAAATTTACATAAAATATTTTTTGCTGATTTGCATAACATTTGGGTAGGTAAGATTTTTTTCTGGGCCTTATGAACAGAAACAACAATTTTATAAAAAAAAATTCAAATTGGTAATTAAATCTTTATGGTATTTGTTATAATTATGTTAATATTACAAGAAAAATCCTGTCTGTTCTTGAAATTAATCCTTTAAGCTCAAAAATCAACTTGACACCAACCAGAAAATAGTTCCATTCATAGTTTGCTCTTTTCTAATCAAATTCTGTAAATTTCAGAATTTTTTATCAAAAACTTGAGGCAATGTCACATTCATCCTTTTTGGTTTTAAATTAAGATTAAATTCTGTGAAAATCACAGAAAATGTGAACAAATTTACCTAAATTTGGTGCTCAAAATGTTAAATGTTTGTTTTCTTTTCTTTTTGCCGTGTTCAGGTTGTGCCGTCCACACAGGAGCTTGTTGAAGTGAGTGACTGTGGTTGTAGTGTGGCTGATGTTCTCCGAATGGAGAAGATTATTTTAGACAAACTACATTGGGATATTAACATGACATCATCATTGGATTTCCTCCATAATGTAAGTAAACTACCTTCTCTGATTAATGTTGTGAATGTGAAATGTAACAGCGATGTATGTTTCAACATGTCCAATACATCGTAAACATTCACTGAGGAGGAGATATTAAAATACTTGTGTACCGACAATAGATATTAATTCAACTATTTTTAAATAATGACAATTAAATTTCTTTTTATCCATATAAGGATCTTAAAGTAATCTTCTTTTAGGAGAGGGGTCTGTTTTGTGGTTGCTTTTGCAGCAAATTGTATGGATCTACCAAAATCGGGAGGGGATGTAGCTGACTTACTGTAAAATCATTAATTAATTAATTAATTAATTATGCATTAGGCTTTAATTTAATTGAGAATCTATGAGAATAAAAAAAAAAATGGACTTTATGAAAAGAAACTTGTTGCTCACTCTTTACAATGTTATTGTACCATGTGACTGAATCCGTAATGGTTTTTTCCATGCCAACTCGCAACATTTGAGTGGGCGGGCGGGTGGTTGGCGTATGGATGAATTGAACTGCTGTGCTCAGCAGATTTTTCATTGACGTGGATAATCGTTTGCTTTTAGTAACATGTGTGGTATACACGATTAGACTTGGATTATTTGTCACCTGACGTCACATGTATACAAGTAGAATGTATAATATTAATAGTATACCAGAAGAAATATAATATTATGGAAATATACGTGAAGGTTGCACATATTAGTATTTTATATTTTCTGGGTTGTTACTACCGGTATATATAATAGGTTAAAAGAATATTTCAATTATTTTCCATTCCAAAGATAATTTATTAAATTAAAGGGCCAGCTGCAGGATCATCCCCTCATCTATGTTATGTGCATTTTGAATTTGTTTTCTGTTATCCATTGAAATCTACATTCTAAACAATTGTGTATGTCCCTATTTGATCTGTAGCATGACGTGGGTTTTTATGAGATTTTTATAATTCACATTTAAATTATTGATCCTGACCATCACAGTGAAAAATTTGTAAATTAAACTAATTTAATTTATTAAAAATAAAAAAATATACATCTTCGCAACTAGATTCACTATGTTTGTTTTGGATATCACAACTTCCATATAAGGAGTGGGTATTTTTATTGATATGTTTACACAATCCGTTGTCAATACTCTTAGCCTTTTGACCAGTGTAAATTTACTGCAGCATTTTTACTTTTGTACTTTCTTCAAATTCTTTCTTAATATTTGACGAAATGAACATAATTTACCAATGCTTAATAATTTTAATCAAAGTGTTTAAAAAATATGAAAAAAAAAATTTATTTATGAAAGGTAATACAATAATTTGGCATTAAAAGGACTAAATATGTAAAACTTTGTCAAATATGCAGAAGAACTATAAAAAACGTTAAAAAAAATGTTTTTTAAATGTTTATATAAAACAACCAATTTGAATCATACGACCAAGAAAAAAATGTACTGTATTTAATATAATGAAATATTGGGGTAGGTATATATGGTTTTTGTTTTATTTTTTCGCCCAATAGACTACCTGTATCACAATAATTCATTGAAAATAGATTTAAAAAGCGAATGACAACCAATTGTCATACATTCTAGTGGATTTCCTAAACATTCTTGTTCCGTTCATTCATGACATTAAACTAAGTATATGTACAAAATCTTTTTTTAGTGAGTACAACACATAGCTAATTTGCATCAAAATAAAATAAAATTGATTACCGGTAATTTGCATCAAATAAAAGTTTGAGTTACAGTACAATAATGGGTAAATAGGGTTGTCAGGAAAAAATAATTTGTTTCCCCTTGACCCAAGTCAATTGAAGTTAATAATCTGAGCCACCTGCGTTCAAATATAAATATTTATTTTTATATTTTTTTTTTACAGTTACATGCCTTGTTAGTGTTCGGTTGTCCTCATTTTCTATCTCGTCTGGGACAGATGAGTCCTTCTCGACATCTCTCTATCCTCACAGCGCGTCTTCTCCAGTGTGTGTGTAACAACCGTCTGACCGCGTTCCGTGGCTCTGTCCTGGCTCTGGCATTATTGAGTCTAGAATTGGAGATACTGGTTCCTGATTGGTTGGCTGTCACCATGATGTTACAACGTTTAATCAAGGTATGCAGACTGTCCCCCATCTCTCTCCCCTCTTGTCGTTTCCCTCTCTCCTTTACTACATTTATATCTAAAATGAGATGTCATCACTTTAAAAATTACAAAAATATTTAGTTGAAAATCATATATATTTATTTTAAATTATACTGTAGAATACTTTATTTTCGCTTGGAATTTATTTTCGTTATTTTCGCTGAAGGAATGATTCCGTGAAAATAAAATTCAGCAAATACTGTAAAGGGGGTAATTATTCACTGTGTTTTAATTTAGCTTATTTCGCTGACTGGAAAATTGCGCTAAATTAAAACACAGTGAATATGTAAAATTTAGCATAGAACACATTATCTAAATGACGAAACCGTGAATTTAAAACCCACTGAATATGCCTGAAATGGTAAATCAGTGAAATTTAAACCCAGTGAAAATTAGTCATTTTACAGTATACTTTTTTTCCTATATTTCACATTAAACTCATCAAAACGCCCCAAAAGCCTTTTCAGCGAAAATTAATTCCAGCAAAAATAAAGTATTCCACAGTAGTTAATAAAAGAAATCCCTGTTCAGAAAGATGTAATAATGTTTAAGAATACACAATTCATATTGTCAATTGCTCAGTTTACAAAAGAGCATTCTATCAGAGCTGAATTACTGCTCTTCCACTGTTTAAGAGGAGATTAATTCTAAGGTGTTTACATGGCCCAGCCAAACGAGAGCCGGGATGCACCCGAGTTCAATCCAGTTCGTTCAGAGCTAAACAGAACAGTGTTCGCAATTACTTAGTATGTAAAGAACATGGCTAAAATGATTTTGGTGTTGTGCTTGCACATGTCAGAGTGACAGAGATGAGGTCAATGT